AATTAAAGCATGGAGTACTTCGATATAACCCGCCTAAACTTCCTAGTTCAACAAATAGGAAAATACAGGGACGCTAGAAAGAAAAAAATTGATTAAGTCCTTAAAGCTAAAGTGTTAGTTAAATATGACTCTGGACCACAAAACCAGTCATAAGGGTCTACTTATTGAAACTGAGATTTATACATCATCTAAAAGCTGAATAAATAAGCTTTCCATTGATGTATAGTTTGTTAGGATAGGACGCTATTTGGCTGAGATCCTATTATTAGAAAATATGGAATCTGAGTGTGCAAAAAAAATAAAGTTGTCCAAATGAAGCTTTTAGCAATGCATATTACTAATCAAAAAATAAGTTTTGATATATTTACGGTAGGAAATTTACAAAATATCTTCATGGAACATGATCTTTGCTTAATATCCTAATGATTTTTGTCATAAGAGAAGATTCGATACTTTTGACCAGGGGTGTGAAGTAACGAATTACAAATACTCACGTTACAGTAATTAAGTAGTTTTTATCAGTAATTGTACTTTGAGTAGTTTAAAAATTGTGTACTTTTACTTGAGTAAATTTTAAATGATGTATCTGTACTTTTACTCCGCTATTTTCCTCCGTTTGTGGTCGTTACATGCTTATTTTAATTTCATTTTTATCCATCAACGTGATTGGATAGAGAGTAATAGGTCTCGTGACTTTCGTCAAATCAAATTGTGCATAGAAAACTTTAACCGCCAACTGTTTATCATGGCTGCTGGAAGTGCATTATTCAAGCATCAATTCAGTCGATCTTCCTCTAACTTAATATGTTAAGGTAAAATTTAGATTTCTGCTCACTAAATGATTTGAATATATGCTTGCCCATCTACACGGCCTGAAATTTGGTGTGAGGTTGCGGGTATTGCATACAGTGTTAAGTGTTAACTCCCGCAAGTGCCACGTTCGGTAAATTACCACTCACTTATGAGACGCGCGATCTGCGCTGCCTCGTCTCTCTCTCGTGTGCGTTCTGCAGCAGTCACTTGGATAAGTCGTTGTTGCTTGTTGAACTTGTTGACTTTTGATGAGTTTGAGTATTGTTGGCTATTGCTACAAAATATACCTTGCGCTACTTATGACTGATTTTGTGCTCCATGGTCACATACGAGTTAGTTTGGTGAATTAGGTTTTCATCACTGCAATTTAAAACAATTACTGATGATATGCGGCCAAAAACATTGCAGTTTCTTAATTCCGAAGTTCGAAAGGAAAATAAACTGCAGAAATGCGTCATCTCGTAAAATATTCCCTAAAGCCATTGGGTCTTTTGTCGTATATCAAATCTTATGGCCCCGCCATGGCCCTCGAGGCCTGACAGCGCACGAGACATGTGGCCCCTGGCGTGTCCACGTTCAGTGATCAATGATGTCCCCGCTAACACGAGAGACAGGTAGAAGAGAGCAGGGCAGGTCTGCTAGTGGCCCAGTCACCACCACAAGCCTCATTTAGTATTTACCGCACACGCCGATGCTGACAAAAAGAAATGGTTCATAATACAAATGAACAAGAGGAAGATGAAAACATATTGAGGCTCGACATTCATTTATAATACCCACACTAATGGTAACCACGACAGAATATGCGAGCAGATGATGTTGCTGACACTGCGGGCAGAGCGTTCAGATCATTTATTCAGACGCTCTTCTCCTCATCTGCTTCAAAAACATCTGCTCTTATGACGCAAGACGCCCATTCCCCCCCAAAACGCATTAGCAAGCCGTCTAGACTGAATAAACCAGCAATTCTTTTGAAGTAAAGCAATATTGGATTCATATGAATGGTTTACAATGATTTCATGAACGCATCCGTTGCATCTTTATGCAGGTGGATGTCGCGCAAGGTACCAAGCTCGCCAAAACACCACTGTGAAACAAAACATATACGCACCCGCAATACGCAGTTTCTCTTTTCTATTCGTCAAACTGAATCCTCTGGGTTTCTTTCCTTGTCCTGGTGATTATTGGAATATTTCGTGTGTGTGTGTGTGTGTGTTTCTCTAGCACCGCTCTCGCTGCTGCGTTTCTTGCGCGATCCTCCGTCTCTCGCTCCAAAATACCACAACTGGCGCTGCGCGGCAATCGGATTTTAAATAATCATTGGAACGCTCCCGGCCCAGTTTTTGTCAAATACGACTGTTCCATTCGAACTCACGGAGAAGACAATGGCGTTTTCGTTCCAGGGAAAAAAATCAGTTTGCGTCCGTTCTTCGTTGTATTTTTTTCTTCATTCGTTTATTTTTGTCCGTTTAGGCCTGTGGCAGGCTAGCAGGTGAGCGTTGAGCAGGCATAGATGGCAGTTCCTACCGTATGGTTGGCGTGTTGAATGTCAATGAGCGATGTCCGAATCGTTTTTGTGAGTCGATTCTTTTTAATGAACCGACTCATGAATGAGACTCACCCCTTGTCCAAAGCCTTTTCCAAATACCCACACTTGAGAGCGCGTGCGCGCGACTGTCCCAGGTCTTAAAATCGCCAGAGCACAGTGCCCTTAACGCGCACTAAATCCACACTATCTCGAATACCGCCCCGCTATTCGAGGCTTAGTGTATCCCATCATGCATCCTGTTCTGGAAATAAATCGTGAGACTTTTTGCCGAGATCGCGCGAGAGGTCACAGAAACCTTTCCAATGTAAGTTCAATATTAATTATAATAAGATATTACATATAATTTGGTTGTAAAACAAAGTGCTACACATTTTATTGTTGCAAAGATTCGTATGTTTATAACATTTGCAACTGCTTTTTATCACTTAATTAAATTGTGTCATCTATAGGGACAACTGAACAGACATTTAGAAGTTGATTTTAAAATGCAAAGTATTGAAAAAAAAAAAAAAAAAGACTGTAAACAATTTGCGTGTTTACAACACTGTAAGTGTGTCCCATCAGGCAATGAAAAGTTGTCCACACACTTGTGGTCTTCATGCTCACTTCAACACTTGGGCCAAATACAGGAAATACATCATATACGTAGTCAAGTGGTCAAGTGCAAAGAACATGTGTGGGTATTTGGAGAAGGCATGAGCCTGTCCGAGGACTTCTCGAGTCAACAGACTCACTAACAAATACCACAACAAACAGATTTTAAGTAATCATTTAAATTAATATCAAGTATTTGTATCTCATTCTCACATCCTAAGGAGAAAATAAACCTTTCGATTCACAGGAATAATCATTTTACATCTTGTCTAGCCTGTTTTTCTATTCGCTTGTTTTTTTTGTCCGTTTCTGTCCGTCTGCAGGCTAACGGGAGATTGGCTCTTTTAATGAATCGATTCACAAAACAGAGCAGCGTTTCCAAAAAGCATCGTAAGCCTAAATTGATCGTAGCTCCATTGGGTTCAATGGGTCTACGATGTACTTTAGCTTACGATGCTTTTGGCAAAAGCGTCGTAAGCCTAAGAAGTTCGTAAAAACGATCGTACGACTGATCTTAATATTACGGTCTGTTTCCCAAAAGCATCGTAACTTAAGTAGCACTTGAAAATCATCGCAGATCTACGAGTGCTCTGGAGTTAAAGCCCTAAATGCATCGTAAGAAGACAGATTTATGCGGTCACCTGCAGGACAATCGGCAGATTACACCTTTAACTTTATTCAAGTGCAACGTGATTATAATATAAAGTTTTGATTGTACTTTATTCTAGGAAAAAATAAATACATTTCAATATTTTCAGAGTATTACGTTTCAAACTTTCAAACCATTACATGTTTTTTTCCCAAGAGATTTACTTATATTTTAAGTCCTTTATAAAATGTGAAAAAATTGGTTTACATTGAGCCCACTTCTTCTTATGTGTATGGTATTTTCCTAAAATAAACAAATGTATAATATGCTGTTCTTTACCATTCAAATTTTAATTTTCTGTATAAAAAAGCACATCAAATATACACATTTCTATCATACACTCTATTTTTCTATTAAAATAAAAGTCCAAATCCTTCCAAAATAATCTTGAGTAAATACAATGAAAAAAAGAGATGCACAATAGTTTATTTTTCTTGACCGCAAAATTCACAGGTATATGACTTATTAAGCTTAAATCTTTCCAAAACATGCTTAGCAGGATAAATTCTATGAAGTAGATTTTGTAAGACACTTCCTTGATTTTGTTATTGATACAAAACTTATTTGGCTGTTTCCATGTTTTAACCAAAGAGATATGACCAAATAAAGAGGAATCTTATTTGGTAATAAAAAATCATGCTGCAGGTAAGGGCACAGAACAAAGAGCATTCCTTATAATCTCACTGTTGTTTTAAAATATCAACATTTTGAAGGAAAATACTTCCACAAGGATTATCCATGCTGATTTCTTCTGAAATGCAGATTTGTTTTAAAGGAACATCACACTCTTTGGAATTGTGTCAAGAACAATAGCAAATTCTCTTGGTTTAATTGGCAATTGGATTTTTTGGAGAAATTCAGTATATGACAACAAATGGCTACCCATGGGAATTAACTTACTGTCTCTTACTAAAAGAATACCTTAATTGAACCAAGTCTAATAGAATAAAGATTTGTTTTTTAAATAATATGTCCTTGTCATTCCATATGAAATAGTTGTGGGGTGAAAAGTGTGCTTATACACCGATGTCCATGCTAGCAGGGCTTGTCTGTGAAAACCGGCCAATTTAACAGGAATTTAGTTTACTGTAATGTTTTACGGAACGCAAACATTTCACGCCGTGATGTCAGTGACCACGTGATGAGATGAAAGAATCACTGAATCGTTCTTAAGTCAAGTCAAGTCACCTTTATTTATATAGCGCTTTTAACAATACAGAAAAGTTTTAGTTCTTAGAACTAGTTCATCAACCAACTGTTCGAAAGAACTGATTCATCAAATGGTAAGACTCCCCTTCACTACAGGCTGGTGTTTGGTTGGTTTGAGTGTATTTTTTTGTCTACCTCACGTGCGCCACACAGTGGTTGAACTACAGTAGCGCAAGACGTAGACAG